CTTGAAATCAGCGAATACAAGTATACTTAAAGGATTCCTAATATATTCACAGACGTATTTAAAAGTCTCAAACCATAATATTCTTCCTATAAAAACAGTTATTCACTATTTGGTAGAGCAAGGTCAACTGTCAAATTTGACACATTTTTCGATGATCTCACCAGGTGGCATGCATTGTCTCTCTTTGGATCTCAATATTTTCCCACTAGATGGCCTGGGCCAAGACCTAGTGTTTTGGCAGTATTTTGACGCGTAAATGTATGACGTCACCATTTCAACCATCAACAAATGCATGGAACTAAAACAAAGCTTAATATAAAGAAAAACTGGAGAGGTGACGGAATTACCCACGATGTCGGAATATACCGCGTTTACCCTACCTAGCCTTCTGAAATTCTGAGGATGCTTCACTGCCTGACACTTGACAGCCTGAGTGCCTTGTCAATGTCAAGTTGTCTACCTAACCTAACCTTAACATTGGAATTTGAAATTAGTTTCAATTCAATACAGTTATTACAGTGCTTTTACAGGCTCCTTAAAATTTGTCTTGTTTTAGTTGTTACTTGTGTATACTAAGACAGACTAACCTAAGTTGTGTTATCACTAAAGTTCAACTTAGGTATCAGATGATCCCGGTGAACGAATGGTCAGTTGTTATTCTACGCTATGGCCATGCGCATGCAGATGGCCCATAGTGCTGGTGGCATGACCCAATGGCCAATGCCGACGACATTTATATTTTAGCCTTCGAGTCAAAGCAAAATTTAGGTAAGTTTATGTACTTTGTGAATCATGGAGCTACTGGTCCTGGATTAAAGTAAAGTTCGTTGGGAGCGCAGCCCTACACCACAAATTTAGCTCGTAAACAAGCCCTGGCGCCAACACCTACCCTATAATGCAATAACTAAACTCAGCTCACACCCAAGAAGCTGTAGGTAACTGAGTCATCTCCCCACACCAACTTTAAAGGCTGCGAAGGGGGAGAGCCGGGGCATGGCGTTATAGGGACGGCGGTTTGCGCTTTAGCCTGTGGAGTAGAGCGCCATGAAGCAGTGGCTGTGACGTAACAGCGCTGTTATGTCAGGCGCTTATTTTCAAAAGCCGCGAATACGCCAGGCTGTGTTTAATACAAGCACGCAACAGTTTGGCTATTTGCCCACAGCTGTTGCTTTGGTGGCTTGATGTTATCTGGCTGATTGATTCATATCCAGGAAAGGAAATGACGCCTATGGCTTTAGGCACTTAATCACACAGGCTAATATGCCCTCTTGCGTGATTACGAGGGGAAAGGAATAGATATTGAATTGTGGGCAAGGGCTATGTAGCGGTCTATACTGCGTCCCAAGTTTGTTTACGATCTACGGAACAGACTAGTGGGACTTCAGTGCTCCATATTTTGGAGACTGGAGACTAGGACTAAGTAGACTAGTGGCTACTGCCGTAGTGAGTCTACGAGAGTACAGGGGAGGAAAAGATCTACTCTCTGAGCCGCGACTGAATTTTTTGAGCCGCGAACTAACGAATTTTCAAGCTGTAAGCCTATTTCTCAAGCCGTGGAAGCCATTCTTGAACCGCGAAGTTGCGAACTCTTAGCGGCAATGGCACCGTTGGCACGCGGCCACACGCGCAGCGCGCAATCACGATTCACGAATAAGCTCAAATTTTGCCCTAGAAACAGCAGTTAAACATTATTCCCCAATTCACATGTAGTTTAGCTCATGCTAATGCCTACCTTACAATATTGCAAAAATATAACATGGTTTTACAGGAGTCTGAGAGGCGAGTTCAAGATCTTCATCTTTGACATAACGCTCTTGCTGCTGTCACAGTTTAACCCTTAACGGCCGTAGTGAACAAATTCGTTCAGTCTATTTCAAAGCTATAATATGGAGAAAATATTAGCCTGTGGGTTCTGAGTCCAAAGTGAACGCATTGGTACAGTCCAGATCAACATGCCAGACACCGCCACATAGCTCAATTAGTGGAATTGTGCTCAATGGGCAACCGTATGTCACGGAGGGTGTAGCGTGACAGACAACCTTTCATCTTGTCAAATTTTGTCCATCATGGACTCCAGGAGAGATTAGTTATCCCAACGACAAAAATACCAGCGAGATGAGCATGATTCATATGTGT